ACTGGCAATTTGTGAACTGGCTCTGATACAGTGAATTTTCTAGCAGCTATGCTCTTGGCTTAAGGCACAGGCTTGCAGTGCTGTGAAAAGATGGCAATGGGGGCATATTGCCTTGGGTCCTTAGTAACCATGGAATAATTGTTTCCATTTGCTTTTTGTAATTGTCATATTGCTCTCTTAACCCTGTGACCTTGTTACCCAGGAGGATACCACTTGGCTCCAGTCAAAGACGCAGCAAAGAAATCAGTGTTCATTCTAGGCTGCTTAGATATGATCACAGACAGCCTTGGCTCTCCAACTATTCAGCTTAGAAAACAGATGTGTTAGGATGAAATCCATGGTTCTTCCCCACCGTAGTCCCAATGTAGGCTCCTTGTCCCTGGAAGACAGACTGCAGAGGATGGTTTTTAGAGGTGAACACCCACCCATTTTTATTTTTTGCATGCAGTCACCGTGCTGAATTCTGCAATATGGACTTGCATGTTACCAGTCCCTGTAACCTTTTAATACATCTTCCTGACTTAGTTGAATCCATTCTCTCCCTAATTAAACACCTGAGGGTGGCTATGACAAAAGAGCCGCAGAAACGTTTTGGGAGTTTGGGGAGTACTTCTGTGGTACTGAAGGTGTTCATACAGTGACATCTCAAGATGATCAAGGGTGATGGGAGCAGCGTTCAAGAGGAACACAGATCTGCTAAGTCTGTCTGGAAGAGTATTGCACTCACACCACAACAAAGCCTGCCTCAACAAAGTTAGTATATTCTCAGGTGAAACTTGAGGCCGCAGGTTTCTGCTGCCCTAGCAGATAATGCTGTTAGATTCCACTCTCCCCAAAGTAAGTCTCTGGTCCTGTAAATGATGCTTTTCTAATTATTGCTGCAATGAGAATTTCAGCCTCCCTCCTTTTGCAGGTGGGATTAGTTCACAGCTGGACAGTGCAGGCATGCTATCTTGAGGCTGACTGGTCTTTACAGCCTCTGGTTTTCTGTTGTGATCAGCCTTATGCTTACAGGGAGCAGGATGCTGGTACCAATGTTCAAGGGGCAAACTTAGCATTGATGAAGCAATGCAGCCCCCTCTGACATTTTTAGGAGTGTACCTGGTGTGGATACTGCTCCGGGTATGTCATGGAAGTGCAGAGTTTTCTGCCGGATCCCCGTGTCCTGATTCTGATATTCTGTCTACTGAATTGGCTCCCTCTGTCTTATATTAGGCAATGTTGATTACAGGTCTCATATCTACATTTTATTTAGATTCCTTGAAATACCTGAAGTTTTGGCACTCTTGCTTGCCCTGAGGTGGTTTTCTTTATTCAGTGGAATGAACAGAAAGTATGTGCTTTTTAAAAAGCAGCTTGCAAAGGAAGTTGTGAATGTTTTGCATGCTACTTTTTGCACTCTGATACTACAGCAACATATTTTGTACCTAAATGGATCCCAAGAGAATTGTCATGTGTGGACCAGAAATTCCCCTTTCTAAAGAAGGGCTGTTTAAAAAAAAAAAAAAAAAAAGCCACCATGTTTCTTTGAATTGCACAGCTGTGGGGTTGCTGTTTTCCTGCTATGCATGGTGTTTCGCAGTTTAAATGCCTATATGTACTGTAGCTGGGAAATGATTTGTCATCCTGTTTTTAATAAAGGCCCTCCTTTTATGAAGGGTCTTGGTTGGCTGAACATGAATTCTCAGCCTGTTTTACAAATATTTGTGCAGGAAAGGGCGAGCAATGTGCAGGACAGACTTATGACGCATATGGCCACTATTGCAGGGGCCTGTTCTTTTGTTCAGGAGAATGTGGAAACAAGGCACAGCCTGTACAGTGGACAAGCGGTGCCATTGTGGTCTGAGAATAGGGTACCTAAGCGTTGCTGTCTAATGAAATGGTGCTGTTTTAACAGTAAAAAGGAAGACAAGCACATTGAGTAGCAGGCTGAATACCACTACCAAGGGGCTGTGCAGCCAGTCTACTTTGGTTGTTTCATGGATGATATGCAGCAAAAACTAAGATTTGAGTTCCAAATTGATAAATGCTAGGTATATGCAATGGTGTATGTGATATGTTTAACAAAATATACACTGCACCTTTTGTGGTTGACTCCCATTTTGCAAACACCTGGATTCCCTGGAATCTAAAGTCTGGCCCAGACTGACTCATTTCTTTGCCTCCTTGGGGTTAAAAGTTCAAGTTTCAGGTAGCCTTCTGCATTTGAATTACCTGGGTCAGACCTTAAAAACCCAGTGGCCCAAAGGCCTGCTCATAGAGGCTGAGCATCCAGTAGATCAGGGGTGCAACTGGTACCCTTGTGTAGAGTGGTGCTACCCTGACCACGTGCCTCCATCCTGGCTAATATTGTCTCACATCAGAGACGACTGCCTTTCGGTGTTACTGTAGAGACGTAGTTTGAAGAGCTTTGGAAACCTTCAAGTTGAACAGCTCTTTATCTGGATGTGTGCGAATGCAGTATAAAAACAGTTCCTGGTTTTTTTTAATAGTTGTTGCAAATATTAACCAAAGGGTATGTCTGGAGCTGTGGACTGAGGACTTTAATGCAACTCTTCTGTCCCAAGGGTTGCATCTTGCACAGCCAGTGCATGGAAAATCAGATGCCATTTTGTTGTTTGTATTTTAGCGTGTGAATTATTGGAGAAGTGTCTGGACATCTGGGGTGCTCTGTTGGCTTTTTTTTTCCTTTTCCAGTAAGGGGGCATCTGATTCGACTTCCAGATTCTCCTGCCAAACAGCTCTCATTTGCGTGATGCTGGTGGGCCTAATTGTTTAGTGTTTATGCTGTGGGATGGTGAGATTTGTGGTGATGGTATACAAACAGATCATGAAGCACAGTCCCTTCCCTAAAGAGCTGTTGTAAATTTAATTGGGTAAATAAGCCCCGAGTTGAAATAAGTCGTGTCAACCCAGTGACCCGAGTACCAGGGGGAGGGTGTGAGGGTATATGTGCACGGTACCCATACCCATCCTTAGCGATTTCCTGTATTTATGAATCTGGGGTTCCTGATCCATCTGGTCTCCACAAGCTGGAGTTATTGTCATCCCCATGTTGTCTTGAAGGGTCAAATGCTAGGCTACCTACAAATGCTGTTGTGTGGAAGGTGAATGGAGGCACTTACAGTCTCGTTGCTGAATGCCAGGTTTTCTTTGCATTTTGAGCTAGTCTCGCGTGCCCCTTGATTTCATAGAAGCATATATCTATTTGTCTTTTAACACGTCAGGCTACAAAGAATTGATTCAAACCCACCTCTGCACTTCTGTTCCCCTCTGTCCAGTTTGAAGTCCTGCACTGTTTGTCCTAAGCCCACAAGCCATGTTACTTCTGCCATGTTGACGGGATTCAAACGTGGCAGTGGTTCCTCCAGCAAAGCAAGTGGAGCTGATTGAATGCATCGGACAGAAGATGTGATGGATGTTTTTCAGGGTAGAGCCACATGTGCCTCCTTTTTCAGCCAGCAGTGAATTGTGGAGCATGTAGGTTGCCAGTTGGACTGCAGGGGGTTCGGTAGTGGCTGAAAAGTGATGGTCTCCGGGTTATGTTGTAAAGGTGGAAAACACCTATTGGATCACCACCTCCTTCCTGCAACAAAGGCTTTTCCCTAGCAATTCCCAACCAGCATGCTGCAAGGTCATTTTGGGGGTGCCACAGGTTCCCATGCTATATTTCAGTGTGCATAGTTGTGTGACTTGCAAGATAAACCCAAAGAGTTCAGATAAAAATCCATAGGGTTAAAAGTATTCTGATCTGCTGTGGCCTTTCTGCCGCCTTTGCGATAGAAGAATAGTTGCTTTTGCTTTTCCATCATCAAGAAATGAGTGCAAGTGAAGGGCTGTATTTTCCAAGGGGGCCCTTGAATCTAACGAAGTGGATGACTACTGATTTACCCAGTCTGTAAACTGAAGCTACAACTAAACCCTAACAATGTGGACAGAGTGACTCCTTTGCATATGGCACTCATCACAGTAACTGGAGCTAACCCTGACACTTATTGGCAAGAGATGCATAGATTCATAGATGTTCGGGTCAGAAGGGACCTCAGTAGGTCATTGAGTCCGACCCCCTGCTCTGGGCAGGAATGAGCGTTGGGGTCAGATGACCCTAACTGGTGCTTGTCCAGTCTCCTCTTGACCCCCAGGGTCGGGGAGAGCACCACCTCCCTTGGAGCCCAGTCCAGGGCCAACCCACCCAACCGTGTCGTCATCTACATCTCAGCCTGTCGGTTTATTTATGAGAACAGGATGCAATATTGTGTCGAAGGCCTTCTTAAAGTGTAGGTAGATGACATCCACCTCGACTCCTGCGTCTCAGCATTTTGCGACCTGGTCATAAAAAGAAACAAAGTTAGTCGGGCAGGATCTCCCTGCGGTGAACCCGTGCTGATTTCCTTTCAGCATTATTTCTCCTGCTGGGCTCCCACAAATGTGATAATGATTTTTTCCAGAGTTTTCCCATGGACAGAGGTGAGACTAACTGGCCTATAGTTTCCTGGTTTCTCTCTCCTCCCCTTGAACATAGGGACCACATTGGCCCTTTTCCAGTCCTCTGGGACCTGACTGGAGCATGAGGAGTGCCTGAACAGCCGTGCCAGCAGCTCTGACAGGGCAGGACAATTCCTTCAGCACCCTTGGTTGAAGTTCATCCGGCCCCGCTGATTTGAACACATCCAGCCCCTCCAAGTGCCCCTTCACTAAGTCTGCACTAACAGCTGGTGGGCGGGTGTCCCTCCTGTGTCTATGATTCAACTGGGAGATTTGTCTTGGTCTGTATCTAGGAAATACAGATGCAAAAAACTCATTGAAGAGCTCTGCTTTGTCCCTGCTCTCTGTCACCAGCTGCCCTTGTCTGCCCTGTAGGGTCCTATGCTGCCCTGCACCTTCCTTTTGCTCCCTGTATACCTGAAGAAGGACTTTTTGTTGTCCTTTAATTCCCCCCTGCCCCCCACAACAGTCTTAGCCCTAGCAATGCACAGTGTGCTTTTACTTGCCGCTAAGGTCATATGCAGGGTGGATATGTTTTGTCACTTCAAAGTATTGAAGTTGAATGGGTACAATGAAGAGACTTATTGCCAAGGAGAGCAATAATAAAACCATCTTTAGTGTAATGGCATAGTATTTTTTCTAATGTGAAGGTCTCCCGTTTAAGTGGCATATTTCCTGTGATCCTTTTCCAGGCAATTAATGCAGAGTACTTGTCTGTCAGTGATTATTAGCTCTGTACTAAGAGGTAGTGATTAAGAAGACAAAATGCAAAACAGGAAAAATATAAACGACCTGAATCCTTCTCCAGCTAGTGCTTTCCTAAAAGCTTTTTCTTCTTTCTTCCCTGCCCCCACCCCATTTGCTGCTGCCTTTTGTCTTCCTCTTTTCATGTTTCCTTTGCCCCCATGGTCTCGTTTCAGTTGGGAGCAATTCTGCACCTTTCGCCATGCTCTTTGAGGTAGTCCTGTTGAAAGGAAAGGCAGTATTAACAGAGTAAGGTGTTATTCCTGTGAATGAATCCTTCGTTGCTGATTCTTAGCACCGATTTCTTTTCCAGAAGAGACATAGCCAGCTTCTTCTGTGCAAAGCTTGTATTGCAAGCAATATTGTCTTCAAAGGCTTTGTATATTGGGACCTTATGAGGAGCGGTTGTCTCTTGGTTTTTCGTGTCTAACTAGTATCCACTCTAAAGCTCTATGAACTTAAAATATGGTATGAAATGGATGCTAACCGTAAACCCTTTCCACTTACGTCAGTTCAATGGGACTTAATAAAGGTGGTGGAATATTCTTGGAAACGGAAAGGAAGACTGGTAGTGCAGACAGATATGAAAAACAGTACACGCAAGGCAGATATGCCACGGCTTAACTGTGTAGGACACCTAAAGTGATGGGAGATTGCCAGAGAGATGACCTGAAGATGTTTAGCTGCTGTTGTTGTAAAGAGGAAATATCATTCTGCATCATCCTTGGCCAGATCCTACTACATTTTAGTTCTCTAGGCTATAGTCACATTATAACTACGGTTTTTTCTTAAAAATGAGAGGGGGGAGGAACCTGAGGGAAGCCATATTTTGCAGGATGCAAAACACAGGCTACCTTGTTCAGTCAATGCAGCTTAGGTCAAATGTAGTTATGAAAAACAGATGAATTCTGGTGATCAAGTTGTACTTTGACAAATATTCCATTGTTACAACACAGCCATTTATTTAAAACGTTACCCAGTGCTTGTCTTGGAGCTTGGTTTCTTTCTTCCAGCTCACGTTCTGTTAACCTGTAAAGGTCTAGTCAGTCAGAGCTTGCCCTCCTCTGAGAGATACAGGACAGAAGTTTACTTGAAAATGGATGTGGCTTCCTCTAGCTATTGAAGTCTAGAGAAGTGCGTCTCATGTTGGCATGTGCTCCTTTGTCCTTCGCTGATGCTGGGAGCGGCACTTTCCAACAGAATGAGGAAGAGTGGTCCCTAGTAAATGTATTCAAATGAAACTTATTGCATGGTTTAATGTGAATTCAACTCTCTCAGCCTTGTAAAGGTTTAGCTTATGACCTTCCTACAGTGGCTTCTTCTGCTGTGTCAATACAATGGTGTTCTCTTTTTCTCTCCCAGGTATGTATGTGGCCTTTATCTTGTTTTATAGATGGGGAACTTGAACCAAGACGCAAAGGGTATGGGGTCACAACAGGCTGCTTCAGGGCACCGGTGTGAACTTCAGCATGTTCCTGCTCCATAGCATCTGCCAACTCTTGGTTTGCGATAATGCAGACTGATTCAACCCTGTCAGTTATCTACCTCCCACTTTTATAGATTTCGTAGACATTAGGGCTGGAAGGGACCTTGCAAGATCATCGGGTCTAGCCCCACTTGCAGCAGGAGAAGAGCAGTTATACCCTAACCGCTAGTTATTCCTAGCGGTTCCCACCCTTGTTGGGAACTTGTTAGTATGCCCATGGCTTATCCAAATTTGCACTGGAAGCCTTCAGCCAAAGGACATTGAATCCCGATCCCCAAGTTCAGGCCGGCATCCTGACCATAAGATCTTTTCCGGTCCTTCTACCCTTCCTGTCCTAGACCAGGGACCAGATCTGGCCCAGAAATCTCTGACCCACACTAGGGTGGCACCCAGCTACACCAAACCACCTGTCTCCTCTGCAGCACCCTTCTTTGTAGCCCTTCCTGCTGCTTTCTTATGTCTGAACTTACCTTCAGTGGAGAGGGGCAGATATCAGGGGCTGGACCCGATGATCTTATGAGGTCCCTTCCAGCTCCTAATGTTTACAAAACATCTATAAATCTGCAATGAGGGTAAGTACAGGCAGCTAGAGCTCTTTGGTGTGGGGGGAGGGGGGAGATTTGTGATCAGTGGCAGGAAGCTACGTTGCGAGCTCCCGGTTGTGGTGGCAAAAGGTTGCTGAGCCTCTGTCCTAGACGGTGGGTCAGTGCTGCTGTGTGCACTCTGAGATGGCCTCATTTCACCAAAAATGCTGCCACTGACTCCATATTTTTGTAGCTTGTAGTCAGCGCATTGGCAAAGCTTTTGAGGATGAAAAACAATGTAGAGGAGAGTCATTACTTTTCATTTTATTGGTAGCACTTTTAAAGCAGGTTAGTCCAAAATACATGTTTAAAAATATCTTTTAAATACCTCTCTCTGCCCCCAAATTGATCCTCCGCTTCCAGGGAGCTCTGCCAACTCCTAGAAAGCAAGGCTATAATTCTGGATAACCCTGACAGCAAATGGCTCGGGAGATGCTGTTCTTTCTAGCTGGCCTGTGGGCACGTTGCACCATCTAAAAGTATTTATTGCCCCTTGAGGTTCCTAAAGTGTGTTGGATGCTTTACAAAACAAACTTGAACTCGTGATCCCTGCCTCGGAGGGGTTTGGAGCCAAGCGCAGTCAGGTTGCTACGTGGGGGGTAACTGGTAGGGCTGTGAGGAAGGCCAGAGATACAGCAGTCGGCTTGAGTGATTGCTCTAGCGACAGCAATGCACATATGAGTCGTTCTAGGAAAATTCTTTTAAAGCTCAAGTTGAATTAAAATGGACTTTTCAACTTCCTTGATTGTAAAGAGAAGGAATCTGGACTATTTCAGTCCCTAGCATACTCCTTGGGCGAGATGAATCAGATGCGGGAACGGACATGGGAGGAGGGGTGTGTACAGGGCCACTTAGACATGCACCCTAAATGTGCCCTAGTAAACACTTCATCACTTGAGAAATCCTACCAATGAAAGTGATTGAATTAAGGAAAAAATTGGATTTCATATGAGGACTGGGCACTCTTCCTGTGTGTGCTCTGGTGTTTGAACTCCTGGGAGGTGGCTACCAGTTGGAGATAATTTTGGCTATTAATCAGTCAAGTGGATTAGATCTGCCAATGCATCTTAATTTGCACATTATTTTTCCCCACCCATGCTGAGGAGTATTAGCTACAGAGTAATGTGAAAGCCAAAGCTATCAACAAAGAAAAACTTAGTTTCTCGCTCACATTTTTAAAGATCAGCATGATAACGATCGAGTTCATTTGCCAGCTGCAGTAGCTCCAGATTGTGTGCTCTTCCTTCCTTAAGCTGTCTTTTAAACAATTGGACAAGGGAGTTGTGAAGCTTAGTGGGGGCAGGAGCCCAGGGTATCTCCCTCTCCCTTTCCCTCTCTCCCTCTCAAATACGTAGGTGTTTTTTTTTTTTTT